CCCCCCGGCCCGTCTACTCCTCGATCCTCTCCTTCACCAGGGCCCAGCACTTGCGCATCCCGGTCCCCATCGACTCCTCGTCCACCTCCTCCGCCGTGGCCCAGCGGTGCCTCGCGTGCGTCGACACGCACTCCCCCCCCTCCCCCTCCACTTCGAAGAGGTGCACGTGCATCGTCAGCTTGATGTGCGAGAACAGCCACGGCACGCTGCCGAGGTCCCCGGCGTGCCGCACCCGGGGCCGCCGCCCGGCCTTCGGCTTCTTGCCGCCGTCGCCGTCGCCGTCGCCGAGCAGCAGCAGGCCCGAGACGTACCCCTGCGCGTCCCGCTTCCTCGACGACGACGACGACGACGCCGTGTTGCTTGCCGTCGTCGCCGCCGTAGGAGGAGGAGGCAGCGTGTGGCTCGGCAGCTCCCACATCCCGGCGAGGAGCCCCTTGTCCGGGCGCCGGTGGACGAGGAAGCGCCCGTCCTCGCGGCGGCGGACGGCGCAGACAAGGGCCTCCTCCTCGCGCGCCGCCTTCTTGACGACCTTGAGCGGGAACTTCCTCGCGTGCTCGGCGACGGCCTCCAGGGTTTTCGCGTCGGCCGCCGCCCGCGGTCCCGGCGATTCCGGTTCTCGTTCCTTTTTGGCCGCCGTCTTGGAGGAGAAGAAGGCGGACAGGGTGGTTTGCTTCGCGACCGGCCGAGACCTCGTCCCCTTGCCGGCCGCCGCCTTGGCCCCCTTGGCCCCCTTGGCCGCCTTTGGCGCTCCCGCGTCCGAGTCTTCCCCCGAGAGAGCGGCGTCCCCCTCCTCGTCCGCCGCAGCCGCCTCTTCGAAGGGCTCGCATATCGAGCACAGGTCCTCAATGTCCTCCGCCTTGGCGGCCCTCGTCGGCTTCGCGGCCGCCAGCAGACCCTCGGCGTAGGCGCGGCACGTCGACGTGACGGGGCACGCGGCGCAGTTCGGCTTCGGCGCGCAGACGGTGCTCCCCAGCTCCATCAGCGCCTGGCCCCACCGCCCCGGCCGGTCGCTCGCGGGCGGCGGCGGCGGCGCCTTGTCGTCCCCGTCGCCCTCCTCGTCCACCACGGCGGCCCGGCCGCAATCTCGTTCGGGGTCGTCCCCCGCGACGGCCTTGACGAGGGCGTCGGCGGCGGCCCAGAGCAGGTCGATGACGGCCTTGTCCGTCTTGGCGTTGCCGAAGACGCCCAGCTGGCGGCTCAGCACGCGGAGCACGTTGCCGTCGACCATGGGCGCGGCGCGGCCGAAGACGATGGCGGCGATGGCGCCGGCGGTGTAGCGCCCGACGCCGGGGACCTTGGCCTCGAGCTCGGCCGTGTCGGCCGGCAGCAGGCCGGCCCAGCGCGGGTCGGCGACGACGAGCCTGGCGGCCTCGTGGATCCTCGTGGCGCGGCTGTAGTAGCCCAGCCCGCGCCAGGCGGCCAGCACGTCCTCGGGGGCGGCGGCGGCGAGGTCGCGGATGGTGGGCCACCGCGCCATCCAGCGGTCCCAGTAGTCGATGACGACGGCGACGCGGGTCTGCTGCAGCATGATCTCGCTGATCCAGACCTCGTAGGCGCGCCTCTCGAGGGCGGCGCGGAGGCCGGCGGCGCCGTCGGGGTGGGAGGTCCGCGGGTCGATCCAGGCCTTGCGCCACGGCATGCCGCGGGCGGTGCTGGTGGCGTCGAACCAGGCGAGGAGGGCGTCTCTTCCGTCGCGCCCGGGCCGGCCGTCCAGCAGCAGAGGACGGTGGTAGCCGGCGGCGTGGATTCTCGACGGGGGCGGGCAGGGGTCCTGCTGCGTCGCCGGCTGTCCGGATGGGCCGAAGAGGGTCGCGTAAAGCTTGGCCGTGTCCGCTTTCCGCGTCTTTTCGACCTTGCGTCGCTTTGGGGGCGGCTCGGCAGAATCGTTGACCCCATCGTCGTCGACGGGGGGCGTGAAGTCTGCCTCGGACGCGTCTTTCCGTGGCGGTGGTGGTGGAGGTGGTTTGGCGGCGGCGGCTCTGCGCGTCCTGGAGATTGGTTTCAAGGGCTCGTCGTCCGGTTCGTCGTCGGCTTGGGCCAAGATTCTCTTGGCCGCAGCGAGCGAGCTTTGGCGACGCACAATGCCGCGCTGTATCATGATGGTTGCTGTTGAGTGTGAGACGCGACGACGGGAGACGCGTCGCAAAGCGAAAGTGGACGAGACGGCCGAGCTTTAGCGTCGATTCCGGTGACAGGACCCTGGAATTGAGATCGCATCAGGGGTCCAGGGTCCCTGGAGACAGGCACAGGCCACTGGAGAAAATAAGACGAGGAGAAGACGAAAGGAAAAGAAACAATGTGCCTCCTTCGTATACATAAGGATAGATAGATGGGTAGGTGATCCGGATCAGTCATGATTCCTCCCCCTTTCCTGTTGCCCAGCTTTCCAGCAATGCTATCCATATCCGTGCATGCTCTCAGCACCTGATCTCACCACGTCTTGTGCATTCTTTTGTGTGTTGAAGGCGAAAGGCTTATACAGCAAGGCAAAAGGATAGACAGGTCCTACGAGGATTCGAACCTGGGCCTACGGACAGATCTGGAGGCAATCAGAATCCGACGTCCTAACCAAGCAGACTATAAGACCATTGCAACAGCTCCGATTGCTGCCCGGGCCGTCGATTCCACCGTGCATCGAGTCTGCGCACGCGACGCCGCGAATGACGCAGAGCAAACAAAAGACCGGGAGAGAACGGGACAGATTACGCCCTGTGTCTTGAGTCTTTCTATTTATATGTTTCTGGAAGTCGGCACACCGGCTTTTCGGACGTCTTTTTGCTGATGTTGTTGTGAACTCTAACCGACGTGCAGCCCCATCCATCCCTACACAGAAACCCCCCTCCCCCCGACTTTACTCTGTCCAGCCGTCGCCGGCGCACGTCATCCAGTTGACGCCGACCAGCTTGAGGCCATGCTTCTCGGCAAACTCGGCCGGTTTCCACGACCGTCTTTCGACAAACTCCTCCCCGCCGACGTCCTCCTTCTTGAGGTCCAGGCCCTGGGGCTCCCGGTAGAGCAGGAAAAGGTAGCGGTGCGGCTTCGAGCTGGAGGGGGGGGAAGACCCGAGTCAGCGTCTCATTAACGAACCGTGATTTCATTTTCCCCCGTGGAAAACCAAGGTCCAAGACAGAAAAGAAGAAGAAGAAGAGGAAGAAAAGAAACTCACTCGTCCTTGGGCCCGGGCCCGAGAAACTCCGTCAGCGGCGGCTTCCCCTGCGCGACCACGCCGCCGCCCCCGCTGAGCGGCTGCAGCCCGGGCGCGACCCAGTGGCGCCAGAAGGCGAACCGCGGGTCGTCCGGCGTCGGCGCGTCCGGGTCCGTCAGGACGAGCGTGTAGCACGTCGCCGGCGCCGCCCCGGCCCCGGCCTCGCCCGCGAACGAGACGCTCGGCGCCACCTTGCACTCGCGCGCCCGGAAGAAGTTGCCGGCGTCGACGGCCTTGCCCGCGAACGACACCTCGAGCCTCGTCGTCGGCTCGAAGCCCTCGGGGACGAGGACGCCGGCCGGGCCGGGCACGAGCCCGGCCTGCTCGAGCGAGCTCGCGAGCTTCTGGGCGTGGTCGGAAAGGGACATTTTGAGAGAGAGAGAGGGGGGGGGGGGGGGGGGGGGGCGGGGGGGGGGGGGGGGGGGGGGGGGGGGGGGGGGGGGGGGGGGGGGGGGGGGGGGGGAGGGGGGGGGGGGGGGGGGGGGGGGGGGGGGGTTAGTGCTGAGTGGCGAGGGAGAGAGAAGGGGGAGCCGTCGAGGAAATGATTGATTTTTTTTCTTCTTTTATTTTTTGGAACAAATCGCTTCGCTTCGCTTTTGCGGGCTGTTCTTAACCCGAATAATACGTACGTGAAATGCGCGATGACCTACCTACTAACCTAACCTACGCGGGGTTTTCGGGCGGCGGTATTATGGAGGCGTGGGAAACAATAACCAGTGGTGGAGAAACTGGCTGATTTCCTGCACGAAGGGTCTTGGCAGAACATCCGGGCCTTGACTCGAGTTTCGATAAACCGAGGATAGACAAGTCCCATCCAAGTGATGATGCCCCAGGTGATGATGCCCCAGATTCTTTAAACCAGGTGGGATGGGGAGCAGCACGTACGCACGGCTTCACGAATGGGATCATGATGACTGACGGCGGGGAGCAATGGGGTGTATCAGAGATACAGAGACGGTTTTCGGTTCCGCCATGTCGCCTTTTGGGCCATGATGACCTCGAAGGCCCAGCTCCGTAAGACCCTCAGAGATACTAGTCTCATGTATGTTGCTGCATTGGTTACTTGGTCTTGATTGAACTTGATATCCCGGGCAAAAGGCAATGACGTTTTTGACAATCATCCATTCCCCCCTTGACAACGCCAGTCCCCCTCCCCGAGGCTTACTAGGTTTCAACCCCGTCTGTAATCAATCTTTGTCCTTTGCTCATGTCGTCTGAAAAAAAATCGGTTCATGTTTTCACCAAACTCGGATTACTTACAAACCCCCCCCCCCCCCCCCCC